CTTAAATGATATTGTTTATTATTTACTATTACTTAATTACTTAATAAACCCAAATAAACTATTAAAGAGAAAGCTAGTTTGTTTGATCTTTGATGAAAATATCAGTTTATATATTAATCATCAACCAAAAATTTTGCCCTAGAAATAACTATGCAGCCCAGAATTTTGGAAAGTTAGTTCCTTCCTGTAAAATTTGCCAAAAACAGGTCTACAGAGTGAATGTTTTCTCTTTTTAAATAATTACTTCAGGCATTTATCATACCAGTTGCAGAAATTTATAATCCCAACTTTTCCTGAAATATGGTGATAACATTTATGATCCTGAACTGTGTTTCCAGCCATTACTTGTCACATGACTTACCTGTACTAGTGGCCTAAAGTAATTTAATATTTTACATGATATGATATATGAAGGAGCAAAAACTAAGAACTATATTCTGTTGCGTAGCAAACATGTAAAACAATAATTTTACATTTTTCTTGCTTTTAGAAATTTACTGATCATTAATCGTTATTCTATCTTACTCTAAAAATATTGAAATCTAAACACAAGCCTAGGTATGGTATTATTCATTGAGAGTTAAGAAAACAATTGACTATGCTGAAGATTAGTAATAAAAAGGGTAGGTTTTAATCAAAATTGTATCAGATCTTTTTCCTAGCTGTGACCCTGAATATTAAAGGTTATGAAATGTATGAAAAGGACTTTAATATCATATTGACTCATTCATAAAAAATGTTTATTGAATGCATAATTGGGCAATGCCCTGTACACAGAATCCAGAGGGTCATGAAGGGAAACAGTCTCAGAAAACCTATTTAAGAAAACACTGAGAACTTATAGAAAAGACCTCTATGATGGCTACTGCATTATTGCCATCAAAGAAAAGATGTCGGCAATGCAAGTTAAAATAGGCATTTTATTGAGAAACTTGCCTTTTCAGTGAGAAAGTAACAGTTACAAATATTTTCATTTAATAAAATTAGCATATCCTTAATTCTAAAAATGTCTCTTAAAAGCCTTTATTATCTGAAACTGTAGACTATTCTGATCCAGGATTTTCTTCTAGCGTCTCCCATGGAAAATGATGCCATTCATGCAAATAATAGAAGATATTGTTCATAAACAAATTCACTACTTGAGTTTGAGTTGCCTGCATGCATGTGAATTAATATCTATTACTATAACAATAAAAGTCTTCTGGTGCAGCATTGAGGCCTTAGGCTTACTCCTGAGCATTCAGAGAGTCATAATGTAGTCATATTAAAAAAAGAAAGTTCTACAGCAAGACAGTTCTGCTAAAAACATCCCCTTTCCATAATCATAACTTAAAATTTGTATAGGTAAATACTACACTATAGTTTACTTGTTAAATAGGCTTCCATGCAGGTTTTTAAAAAATTATGTATTTGTTGCATTAAAAGAGCAATGACACTAACCCTATAAATTATTTTCTAAAATGGCTTTAGTATATGAGACACTAAAAGTATGAGATAATTAAATAAATATTTGAAACGTGTTTTAAATAAGTTAAACCAGCACTGACACCTAATAAGTAGATGTTCAAAGGTCATATGACTAGATCTCTTTTTAATTTACTGAAGATAAAGCTTATCTGAGATCTGAACATTTGTGTCCCCCCAAAATTCATATATTGAAACCTTATCCCCAATTTTCCTATGTGATGGTATTAGGAGGTGGGGCCTTTAGGGGTGATTAGGTCATGAGGGTGGAGCCCTCATGAATGGGATTAGTGTCCTTTAAGGGGCTGAAGAGACCAGAGTTCTTCCTTTCTACCATGTGAGGACATAGCAAGAGATACCATCTATGAGCCAGAAATTGGGCCCTCATCAGACACTAAATCTGCTGTGCTCTGATCTTGGACTTTCCAGCCTCCAGAACTATGAGAAATAAGTTTTTGTTGTTTATAAGCTATA